GAGGAAGAGGAAGAGGACGAGGAAGAAGAGGAAGAAGAAAACGAGGACAAGAAACAGGAGGACGACGAAAGTGCTACGGTGCTGATCGTGATGCTGCTACCGGCGGCATGATGTTAAGGTTCATGCGGTGCCAATGGCGATGCTTCTGCTGATGGTGAAGGCGACGTTACTCGTGATGGCTCTGGTGGTAATGGCGATACCGACGCCGATGGTGAAAGTGACGGCTCCTGTCCATACTCAGGGCATGGACTCTTGCATGTCAGCCGGAAACATGCAAAAGTCGCTCTAGGAATATCCATCGAAAGGACGCCTGACTCAAGCCGCCTCTCGCCACCCCGCATAACACAGATGTCAGAATCGAATGCCATAGATGCATCGCACAAAGCCTTGATACCAAACTTCCATCCCGCAGTCTGACACCCACCACACCCAAGCTTCTCACATGGAGGTCGTGATTGCGTAGGTGTTTGCACTGCACCCATCCTGCCAGACTCGATCGGGGCACTGTTGCTGCAAGCCCCTTCTGTTGCTTCCACACTCCGTCATAATCGAACACCAAACACTGTGAACGGCCTTCGTGACAACATCCAACTACTTTTTAAGTCTAAGTCATCTGGTTTGGTCTTCCCCGGCCAGCTGGAGCGTCGCTAAATTGCAGTTTTGGGCGCGGCACACGTATTTAGTATTTAGCCTGCCTCCTTGGCACTCCACATGGCCACACACTGAATGCTGGCACCCGACCACTCCGGTGGTTGCTCGTAACTGCTGTGCAATTCTGTCTGCTGTCCTAGTTGTTGGAAATGATGTCTTCACTCGCACACTCCTACATTCCTTCACTACCGGGAAATGCATCGACTTGGTCGACCGTAAACTAGCAGCAAAAGCGTCCACCAAATACAAAGTGCGTCAAGCTGCCTCACTCACAGTGACACCTCCCATGGAGAGGTCACAAGAAGCGCAAATGCCACTTTGCGCGGAAATCTACTCGCCTACAGCGTGGACAACGCAGTGTGTTTCCGAAGAGGAGGGCTGATCAGCTAGTCGAAAGACTGTGCTTGACGGCGTGTGTGCAGGTGTGGCTGTTGTGGAGAACCACGGAGGCCGCGATGTGAATCTAGGCCCCGATTCAAATTGGCAGTGCCGTACACTAGAGCGGCTGAAGGTCGTGATGCCTGAGGTACGGAGGGGTCTTTGGCACAATACACTTGGACAGCGTCTAACCGTCCAGATCCTCTCGCAGTCCTCGAACCCTCGCGAGAAGTCCATGAGGCCGGGAAGCAAACATGCAGAACATGACCAATAGTGAGGCAACGACGCCCCACAAATAAAGCTGCTAGACAGACGCTGGGACGAAAGCTCTAATTTGGGCACGGCGGGGGATACGGCAGGCGAACATGCAAGAGGCTTTCTTGTTCCGTGGCTGATGGAGCTGAGGGAGTCTAT